ATGTTTTGCATTATGAAGTATATTTTTATGAAGGTCAACACACTGTACTTTAGGTAAATATTTACCATCTCGTTATTTCATTATTTCGCTTTCCAGCATTTACAGGAAACGCTTCATTCTAGAAAATGCTATCGCAAAACTGTTGGAAATAATAAATGTAACAGCAGAATACGTCCTAGCACAGTCACTCGATTAGGAGAGTGATTGTGGTCCTAGTAATAAACTAAGTGACTTCCAAAAACTGAATGGTGTTTGCGAACTTCGTATTAGTTATAAACCGACGTTAGCTTCACGTTTATGTCACACCATGGAAACAGCCAAAAACATGGTGCTTGTTTTTGAGCGGAGCAGATCGCCAACCAGCCTACCGGCTTGTATCCATATCACTCTCATCAATCATATATCTTGTATCATATCCATATCACTCTCATCAATCATATATCTTGTATCATCCATATCACTCATCAATCATATATCTTGTATCATCCATATCACTCTCATCAATCATATATCTTGTATCATATCCATATCACTCTCATCAATCATATATCTTGTATCATCCATATCACTCTCATCAATCATATATCTTGTATCATATCCATATCACTCTCATCAATCATATATCTTGTATCATATCCATATCACTCTCATCAATCATATATCTTGTATCATATCCATATCACTCTCATCAATCATATATCTTGTATCATATCCATATCACTCTCATCAATCATATATCTTGTATCATATCCATATCACTCTCATCAATCATATATCTTGTATCATATCCATATCACTTTTTGTGAATCTGCTTTCTTTGAATAGTACAATGTCATCAGGTTTGAACGCGTTGATAGCCGTCACGTTAGAAGATATCATAAAGCCATTCAGAAGATGGAGAGCATCTCGTTGCCATAGTGAAGTACACCAAAATGATGCTAGGGATACACTGGTGTCAAAAGTAATGAGTATGTATCTTTGTATTCTCCTCTATGGGGCCAAGTTTGGAGTTCTCTGGTTGCTTGGTTACCGTGTGTGCTCCAATACTCCATTGCCAGACTTTATATACATGTTCTGTTTTTAAGGTAGCGAGACTATTATTTGTGTTGAAAATTACGATTTTCACATTTATTTATTAATTGATGAAATGCACTATAAACTTTCATGTGATAAAGTCAACATAACATAGAATGTCATGTAAGTTGGTTAAAATGTAGATTTTCTGAAGGGAGGCAAGGCAGCCTCAGTAGTGTTTTCCAAAATCAATAACACAGGTTTAATCTGTGTGCCTATAAGTTTCAAAGATAAACTCAAGACAAAGCATTGTTAGGATGTGTTATCAGTAGCTATCTGACACACAATTACTACGTTCACGTTACGGAATCTCGGTACGTGCCGAAATTTTTAATCAGTTGTGTTTGCAGAGGGATTACAGCAGTTGTGTTCACGTTATTCAGGACCCACTTAGGACCAACTGGGCTCGGGCCGAAATCACGCTCTCATTCGTCGATCTGTTGGCACAAACGATACGCATATGATGATAATAATAATAATTGTTATAGTGAAATTATATCCATTTGTTGCAATGGTGTTTATTACGAGCCATCGTGCACATGAACGGCAAAGAAGATTCGAAACACAATTATTTTGTTCACGAAAATATAGGTTGTAGCAGCACATAAATATGCGTCGCTGATGACGGTTTGCATTCAATACTTCAGCATCCGACCATCTACTAGTATATCTGAATTTCCTGTCATCGTCATTTTATGCTAGTATCAATCAACTTATGTTTTTCTTAAATTTACCACCGAGGGCGTGATTTCGGCTCGTGCCGAGCGTTCAGGCAGCAAATCTCGGCACGTGCCGAGTTTCGGTCCCAAGCATCCATCGGGACCGAGATCGAGTTCTTTTCGGCACGTGCCGACTCGGTCCCGACCGTTCACACACAATTTTCGGCACGTGCCGACTCGGTCCCGACCGTTCACACACAATTTTCGGCACGTGCCGACTCGGTCCCGAGTCTCAGCATGTGCCGAGATCTCTAATGTGAACGCCACTATTGAGTGTTTCCAAACATTTGAGTGGTTTGTCTCCGCCCCTGTTTGTTTCACAGATTAGTCATTTGCATATGAATGTGTCAGACACAAGGTCACACAGCCACTGAAAAAAAATCATTGATTTTGGTGTTTTCATATGCCGAATTTATCCAATTATAGCTATCCCATTCCTTTATTTTTTTGGTTTCCAATAGCCTTACACATTTGGATGTCCCTACACATGTTAAAGCAGACCTTGATGGGAAAACAAATTGATTGTGCCGATAAACAAGATTGAAAATCTTTGCTGTTACTTCATGGACGTTTTCTAGGAGTTTATGTTTTTCAAATACAAGGTCTTTAACAAAAAATAACGTATACTTATTGTCGTCGGATTAACACCAAATTTTCACAGCTTTAAGATGACAGTGAGAGGAACTTGAATGTGTCCAGACAAACTATTTCATCGATTAATTACCAACGAGTTGTGGTTTGAGTTGGGGGCAATGCGAATAAAACAGTAATTGAAATTCAGCACACTATTTTTTAAAACGCGTTGCTTCACAGACCAGACACATTCAATTTACCAGACTATTGAACAACTAGGAAAAGTGAAAAAAATACTTCTTATCGCCAGCATAAATGCGTAATTATTTTTTTTACAGAAAAAGTAATTTTTCACCTTTGATTAAGTAATGGGTCATAAAATGCAGATACGGGCATGGCAAACACACCTTTGCAAAGCTTGAAGTCTGGCGATTCTAAAAATATATACTTTCCTGGGTCTATTTGTAGTCATTTTGTCACAATTAGAAGATGAAAACAAGTAAGCAAATAATAGTCTCGCTACCTTAAATGTGACTCGTTTCCTCAAGTCAAATCTCTTTGTTTTCATAAATTGTCATTGGACTTTTATTTGCCTTTGTTATTATAAACCCTCAGTTTACAATGAGATCAACACTAGTTGCGTTCACGCACAGCTCCTTAGCACGGGCTAAGAGGTCAAATTCCTTAGCCCGTGCTAAGAAAACGTGCGTGAACGCTTAGCACGGGCTAAAGAATGCTAAGTACGGGTTAAATCTGATCCGAATTTAAGACGCGGTCTAGACCTTAGCACGGGCTAACGAAGTATGCGCGAACGCTTAGCCCAGGGCTAAGCACCCTCTGCGGCGACCTTTGGGTGTGAAAATTGTCCCATTTTCGTATAACAACACTATTCCACCAGTCATTACTCCGCGCTCGCTTCCACACTAATCGGGTCACTGTAGTAGTAGAGCGTACAGCAGCTCCAATCGTAGACAAAATCAATTTGGTTCGCTGTCTACGACATGCATTAACTCTGTATTCTGTTACGACCGTTGTATACTGTTTATGTGCATCCAAATAAGTTGGGTCCGTCTTCTCTCGCGTTCCTGTGCACGTCGCTTCAAATTTAGAACGAAACATGCCAGCAGCAGAAATAGAACCTCGCGCGTGTCATCCATTTTTCGTTCGTAAATAGCGGCTTACCAAAGGTCACCGACTAATGCCACCCCTTAGCCCGTGCTAACGACTGGCCCTCCCCGGTGCGTGGACGCAATTGGGTCTAGCCAAAATGCAAATATGCTAGATAAGCCTAAATCAGCTTAAATCTTAGCCCGTACTTCGCGTAACGTGAACACAACTAATGAAACATTGACCAAGTCTCACTGTGCAGTAACAATCACAATGGCAGAATTCAAACTCATTGTGCTAAGTTTGAATTCATTGTGCAATGAACATTCCAAGGTTTTCAAAACATATTCCACTTGAACAGAGGGCATGGCATTTTTTTTCCATTAAAAAATTCAGGAATCAATAAATGCCATCAAAAGTATGAGAATTCCCCCAAATATAAATCTATAAATAGTTTTAAAGCTATCCTACTCAGACTTTTCTAGATATAAATTTCTCCTCACGATAAAATGTCTGAGCCTTAACATTTTATCTTGGGTCAGACTGTATATCTCAGCAGATTACTCGTACATCATTATCATCAACCATTCACATACCGGTAGTACTACCTGGTAGTAGTTTTCACCTTGTTGGGTTATTTTTATCAAAAGCAGCAATTCAAAACTTAATTAATGAGGGAGAATTACTGAAAATGTCAATAAATGTGCAACAAAACTTGTGGTAAAAATGGTAAGTAGCGCCTCATTGTCAAAGAATTGACCAAATCACAAACATCATTTTTGTTTGGCCATGTTCTGGTGATAGCATCATGTAATGTACAATATGAACTGTACAGTGATTTGTTCAACAATATATGTACGGTGATTACAGAATCTTTTATGATTAGTTGGTGAATGACCAATATTAGATGCCCTAATTTTAACTGCGAAATTTCATACCTAGTTTTATCTACTCTGTCTGAGATATTTTGGTTAAATAATTTAAATCAAAATTACTTTTATGTGCAAAAGATACTTCATTTTCCCAGATGAATAAACCTAAGTCTGTGTAAAAGTTAATCCCCTCAATTGTATGACCTTTAAACATCAAATAATTATACAGTGGTTTATTTGAAATTGGGAAAAAATATGTATTTAGATATATATTTAGGTCTATTTTATTTTTAAAAGATATATCTGCTAGTACATTAAGTTGCTGTTGTAAAAAGTTTTCATTTAATGCTTAAAATGACAAGATCATTGTCAATGAGCTAACACATCTGCTTCTCAGGAACTGAGCATTACTTACAAGTGAGCCAAGTATTTATTAATATAAAAATTAAACAAAATTGGTTTTATAGGTCATCCTTGACTAATTTTAACACTCTACCCGGTACATCTTGAAAACAGAAGCACTGAACATAATTAGCTATAGATGGCGCTATACAACTCACTGCATTTCTTTGTTTTCAGCATTTGTCTATGGAGCGATAACTATTGGGTTGGCTTTTGTAGCTTCATTTATGGGGCCTTTCGTTGTCATCAGCAACACCATATTTGGCACATCTGGTGGGCCTCTGCTGGGGGTCTTCACTCTTGGAATGTTTTATAAGCGTTCAAATACTTGGTAAGTAGTATACATCATGCTTTCATTGTAATCGGACATGTCTGATATTTTTAAACCAAACTCTGTTACTTCATTTCAAATATTTATTTGCATTGAACAGGGGCATGTACAGTATTTGCTCTATTAAATGTTCAGCTCCAATTTTCTGTATAGTGAAACATTCAAATATTACCTATAGAAATACTTGTAATTTACATATTAACCATATGCACTAATAGAGCAAATACAGTGATTATTTCAGTGCAACAACTTTTATATATCCATCAATATTCTAGTTTACTATTTCATCAGTTCACTAAATCTCATAAATTCAAATTTACATTATGTAATACTTTTTACTTTGTTCATGAATCTTATTGTAGAATCAACATGCTAGAATCTTTAAAAAATGGCTTCATTGCTTCATGATTCGAACGCTTTTTTTCTTCATGATTCAAATGCTTTTTTTTCAACTTTTGTTTATCAACATTTTCATAAACAACAATACAGCTGTAAATGTGTCATCTAATTATTGTTTTTGTCTATCACAGTGGTGCATTGATTGGAATGGTAGTAGGGTTTTGTTGTGGTTTATGGGTTAGTGTGGGTGCTATAGTTACCAAAAATAGTGATGATGCATTGGAAATATACAAGGTAGGTGGATTTTAATAATTCTTAGTACCACAAACTGAATGTGTGTGACTTTGTTTCGTACATTGCATTATGGGAAAAGGTTGGCATAGATTGCATAGTTAGGTTACCAAGGCAACTGTTGTCAAGTTGACAAAAATAAAGGGCATGATTCAAACTTGTTCCATTATCTGAATTGCCACATTGTATCTCATGATCAAAGTGAGAACCCAAATAGTCCTCCATTTTGGATTATGTTTGATTATTACATCTCACTGCTGTTATGCATGCTGTGATTGGTTGAAACTCGGTCACATGACATTGAATAAAAATGGATATTACATGGTATATTGCCCGCCAAGTGGATATTACATGGGTATATCACCTGGATAACGTCACTGAAACTACTGTGCAACGATACTGCGCATAACAAATTGTCGTTCGCTGCACTGGTGCTGCCCCGGCTGCTGTTGTTTTCAGAGTTGCTTTCAAGGTTTTGAAGAAACTTTAGCCATCTGAAATAGACAGCAAACATGCCAGAATGGATATTAAGTAAGATACTTTGTTTTGATCTTTAGGGTATGTTTTATACCAAGCAAAAATGTACGGCAAAGCCACCACTGGAACTTCGCAGCCGGGGTCGCTGCGGCGCGTTCTACACTGTGAGCATTTCTATGCTTCCACGACGATGTTAACCGAAAACGATCTAAAGCTTTGCGACTTGAATAGATGGTGTGGTACACTTTAGTGAGAATGTAATTTCAGTCATTTCCACGGCACTCTGACATTTTTATTTGGAGAGTGATCAAATAACTTGCGTTTGAAAATTTCTCAATTCATTTCAAAAATGTTATTCTCGATAATTTGAGTGATTCACACTGCTGAAACACTGTTACTAAAAATACTGGTAGATGTGACTGTGCATGGTTGATGTATGTTCGGTGTGATAAAATAAATAACACATGGTTTTTCGGGTAATGTCACGATTTGTTGTCTGCCCTCAGGCTGTTGGTCATGACCATAATATTCCTTGCTCAATGGTCATGACCGCCACCCTTGGGCAGGCAACAAATCATGATATTGCCCTCACAAACATGTGTTATTATTTAATTAGTAGACTGTTCATACTTTGGGATCAAAATAACCTATGGTTTAAGTACTAATCAATTTAATTTGTATTTTGCAGTTATCATTCATGTGGTACAGTACATTTTCCTGGTCAATAACAGTGATTTTAGGAATCACCAGTAGTGAAATTTACAGGTGTATCAAACCAAGTATTACAGCTTTAGAAATTGATCCAATGTTGTTGGTCACATTCCTCAGGTAAGCACGGCATTTCACACATTCCACACATCCCGCAGGCTAAGTACGGCATTTCTCATGTCCTACATGATAAGTGAGGCATTACTCACCTCCTACAGGGTAAGGAAGGCATTTCTCACATCAAACAGGGTAAGCAAGGCATTTCTGATATCCCACAGGGTAAGTGAGGCATTTCACACATTCCACTGGGTGAGCAAGGCATTTAGACATTTCTCACATTCCACAGGGTAAGCGAGGCATTTAGACATTTCTCACATTCCACAGGGTAAGCGAGGCATTTAGATATTTCTCACATTCCACAGGGTAAGCGAGGCATTTAGACATTTCTCACATCCCACAAGGATAAGCAAGGCATTTAGACATTTCTCACATCCCACAAAGCTAAGCAAGGCATTTAGGCATTTCTCACATCCCACAGGGTAAGCAAGGCATTTAGACATTTCTCACATCCCACAGGGTAAGCAAGGCATTTAGGCATTTCTCACATTCCACAGGGTAAGCGAGGCATTTAGACATTTCTCACATTCCACAAGGTAAGCAAGGCATTTAGACATTTCTCACATCCCACAAGGATAAGCAAGGCATTTAGACATTTCTCACATTCCCCAGGGTAAGTGAGGCATTTAGACATTTCTCACATCCCACAAGGATAAGCAAGGCATTTAGACATTTCTCACATTCAACAGGGTAAGTGAGGCATTTCTCAATACCTTAGATAAGTGAGGCGTTTCACTCACATCAGTCCAAACTAGATTCTGAAAATCAGTTGTTACTCAAAATGAACATTTATAATTATTATAATATGAGGTTATTACAAAGATACCTCAAATTATGCACCAAGAAAGTACAGCTGGAGTATCGACCGACGTGCAGCGGAGGTCGATGCACGGTGTACTGTCTGAGTGCATACTTTGAGGTATCTTTGTAATAAACTTATTATTATACATCTTTTCCTTCCAAGGATACACCATAGGATTGCTGAAATCCAAAATGTTTAGAACAGAATCAGCAAGCTACTTTGTGTGGAGTCTGGTCAAACTCTGGTGGCAGCTATGTTTGTTTTTATTATTAGAGGATGCTTACGCACGTAATCATTCCATATTTGGAATTTGCATTTCCTAATATGGTAGGATGAAAATACCCTGTAAAATACCGCAAAATTATGGCACGCTGTAACTAATGGCGTTACAGTGACAGATGTATAATAATATCATTTACACAGGTCTGTCTGTTTTTTTTTACTGTTTATTTCTGTAGGCCGACAACTAGAAGAGGAGAATACCAACAAGCAGAAGAAATTGAACCAATGACTTTGAAAGAGTTGAAAAGAGTGAACAGTGCTGATGAAGAACAGGAAGAACTCAACGGAATTATTCCGAACCAACAAAAAGAGTATTTCCTTTAATTATAAGCATGAATGCCTAATACAAGTAGTACAATCATGGATGACAACATTTTCATTGGTGTTTTAGTTTTACTTGACCGTGATGCAGGAACATACCAATCAAGGTGATTTTCCATTCACTGTTAAATATTGCATATTGTTTAAAAGGTGCAAACTGAACGTCTGTCACAAAAATCATATGGTTTCATTTTGAATTTAAATTTTTTTTTTTTATAACTCAATGTGAAAATGCCAATCATTGAAAAAGGGGGGGGGGGGGGGGTAAGAGATATCATCATCAAATATGTATAGCATGAAAATACCAGAAAACATTTTGTTTGTCAAATCCTGCGAGATATTTTTACGTCACTGTGATCTTTGTCCTGTTTTTATGTGTATGAGGCAAAATCTTGCAGTTAATGGAAAATTGTCTATTGGTATGTCCTTGAAAAGTTCATAATGTGAGTTTTTCTTGTCTTAGTCAAGCACGATAGTCAGCAGCTGGTTTTTCTATTATTTATGGTCATTATGTCAGCTTTGTCATGCATGAAGATTGCTTTTGAGCTTATATTTGTGGTCGTTACACTTAATGATATTGCTTGTTTTAGGATTATATATGTAGATATACATTGTGTATATATTAAATTTTTTACAAAGACCAAATGTAATGTACTTATTTATTAGCGTGACAATCGATAGCTTTGCTACAACTAAACTGTACATGGGGAAAAATCTTTCTGACTGTGATGCAGTTGTACTGACATGTTAAACACAAAAGTGAAATATGCTTGTAGCAGGTCTGTTGCTCAACATGTACCATATTTGCTCAATTAGTAGGACATGCATTTAAGTAAATGACAGCGGTGAATTAATGATTATAATGAGTCTTATTTGAATGATCCAATATATAATAAATGCTATTGTTTGTTTACATGCATTGAAGATTTGCTTCTACTAGAGCAAATGCAATACAAATTATTCAAAATATCTTCTGTAAGTTTGGATATATTGTTTGCTCACTGGATTTTATGATAGACGATCATCATGAGTTATCTCACTGTGATTCATGCATAAGATGTGTACTCTTTATCTTGCAAAAATGTTAGGTTGTTTGTGCAAAATAATCTGGTACATTACATCATGGAATCCTATTGTATAAATTTGTTTTTGTAAAACGATAAAGATAAACACTAAAATCAGGTTTCTAATTTATGCAACTTCCAATTTGAAAAGTAATGTTAATATTTGTTGACACAAAATATGTCAGTCTGTTCTAAATCCAAGCTTTCAGAATACATGTACATTGTTATAGTCACGTCAATGTCAACCATCTTTATAAAAAAAATGATGTAACATTTGCAATGAAAAGTACAATTTCTTTTTTTTATAAATAATTGTGTGTATTTTGTAAGTTTCAGGGTATTTATTTTTATATCTCAATCTGAAAAAAACTTTTCTGGTTTTGTTAACTATATTTGTGTAATATTTATTGATATTTTTAAATAAAGGGACACAGGGAATAACAGGCAGATGATGTCCATAACAAGCCTGGGGGTCAGCAATTGAAATCTTAATTCATGGCATTTCATGCGGTATTTTTACTGTAACATGGAAGTGGAATGCAGACAGGGATTTTTTTATAAAGGAATATTTAAAAAAAACATTTTTACAGAAAAAATAAATAGCCCTTTATTTGTAAATATTGAACAAGATGAAAAGCAGTACTGTTTAAGAGCAGTTGACTTTTCTTGCAACATGCTAAAATTATTCACCAATAATTTAATAGATTTCTACCTTCCAGTAAAAAACAGTCAGATTTATGTGTTCAGGATTGTCTACCTCAACTGATTTGATTGTAATTGTTAACAGGGTAAACTTAGCATATAGCGCATGTAAGAAAAAATTTGAAATTAAAGATCTGTAAAATAACATGCATGTGTGTATTGAAATGTAATTTGAGATATAGACCTTTATACTGCATGTGAGCTATGAATGTACTGACATGTATGAATCCAGAAACTTTGAATGGCGTTTGATGTGCCAGTGTATATTAATGTATTTACTAAAATATTAGGCACATGTTCCTGAATTAACCTCATCCAAGGTTCTTTAAAAATAAGTTGTATTTTTTATTTGGGTGGACATTTTGTGACTTTTGACACCCATTGGCAGTGTTAATTTCTAATTTGTATAACATCCTCACTAGTCATGACAACCCCCCCCCCCCCGTACATGTTTTGAATGAAGTATATTGCAGTGTGTGTGCAAAAACATTGTATGTTCCATGCTAATTATATAGAAGAGGTGAATGTGATCACTCAAATGTGTTAGATTAAAAACTTCCTCTACAATGGCTGCCATTTAACCATCTTGAATGTGACGGTAAAATCAAAATGACAAGGTTGGCCATTTTGAACCTGATGTGAAAACTAAGAGGATGTGCATTAAGATTGCATTATATTCAATGTTTGAACCAAGTTTGAATGAAATTTGTCCTTTCAAGACAGAGTTCCAGAATGCCAGATATGTTTAGGATTTTGATGCATGGCCATCCTGAAACAGATAGTAAAACAAATTCATGCATGTGTACCAAAACTGTATGATAGTTGTGTGAAGTCTGAAATGATTGTCTCAAGCTTGTTAAAGATATAGCTTCAGAACAGCATTCACTGAAACAAAATGGCAACAGGTCAGCCATTTGAAATCAAATTTTAAGAGCAAAGTGTCTCAGGATCACAACCAAGAACTTGCAACACGTCATCCGAATAACACAAGTTTGTTGGTGGGGACTTATTGCTGACTTTAGGGGTGACCCAAAACAGATGATCCTTGGTCAGCAAAGAGTTTTGCAACATATCACACCCATTGTCATAACCACAAGACTGATCATTGAGGGCAGTATGGCTATCCATGGAGGATTTCAGCAATCAATGTGTTCAAATTAAAATGGCTCAATTTGGTTTACTTCACTAAATGACACATGACAGGAAATATGTGGTCAGCTGAAAACAAGTTAATTTCTCTATCATAACATACACGTTAATATTAATATTTCATCAATTTATATTACTTTCCTTTAGCTTCAAAAACATGTTGCAAAATTGTTGCTTGTATCCACATATCACATGCTATTTGTAGGATAAGAAAATTATATTGTCCAATATCATTGATTCTATATAATAATTGCAATGCCTTTTTTGAATGAAATGTTTAATAATCCAACATTCAGACAGTAATATACATGACAAATAAGATGGATAAAAGTTTTTATAGCTCAGTTTGTACTCTTAATATAAGACACAATTTGCACTTCCTTGTTGTGTTTGGATGATTGTACATCTGTAGTTTGCTCTCTATATTTTATCCCAGATATACGTACGAAGTTTGATTTAAATCTGATAAATGCTTATTGAGATATCAGAAAAAAATGTTAAATTTATATCAGAAAATTTCAACCAGATAATAATCAGGTTATATCAGTATAGATTATTTAACATTTATGTACCTTTCATTAAAATCTGATGACTGATTCTTAAGGGCCACCACTAAGCCGCAATTTATGATTTTAAATTAATTTACAATCCTATCAAGAATTGTGGTTTTATTGATTTTGAATGAATTAAATTTAAAGGAGTCAAAATAACTTGCATAACTTAGGGTTAGGGAAAGAGAGTAAAGTACCATACTTCACCCATATTATAACCCTAAGCTATGCAAACATGAATTAAATATTATTAAAATCAAATCATAAATATTAAATCACAGTTTTAAGGTGGCTCTTAAGATATCAGTGGAACAGACACATATACATGGCCAAACTGCAATGATTTACATTGTGTGCTTTACACACGCATTAAAGTTATCACAATATAGCAATCATTTCCCATATACATCATTATGTATTTTCATTAATTCATCTTGAAATTTTTAGTAAATTTCAAAAAAAAAAATGACTACTAACAGAAAGCATAAAAAAAACTGTAAAATTGTGCTTCATCATTTAATAATTCACATGGTTGATGTAACTAATGACAACAGCTGTGAAACAGTAAATCTTCAACAGACATTGTAAATATTTATGTATGTCTATTGACAAGACTGTAGAATAATGAGTGTTGATTGGCTAGCAGATGATCAGGTGATGCAAACTCGCTACTTTACCATGGCTCATTACTATAACTCTATCACTGTCCAATATAGTGTTAATACGATGAGCAATAGTTAGCACAGTATGATGACGAAACTCTTCACGAATTGTCTCTTGTAACAGTTCATCAGTCGTGAGGTCAACACTGGCAGTAGCTTCATCAATGCAGAGAACCTGCAATACAAGAAATCACATTTAATTTCATATATTTTCTATTTTCCTCAATACCAAATAATATTATTATTAGAGATATTTAATACACAATTACACATTTTGTATTAGCATGTTACCTTGCGCAACTCTCACCCCCATCACAGGTAATTTATTTTCCATCTGATTATCAAGATAAATTACTAATAATTATTCTAGCATATAAATAATCAATAATTCAACATACCCTTGCTCTTGTTAACATAGCTCTGGCTAGACATACCAGCTGCCTTTGTCCAACTGAGAAATGCTTGCCTCTTTCAGCAACATCAGCCTCAAGGCCCCCTAAGTTATCAACAACTTTTTTAAGATGACACTTCTCTAGAACTCTCCATAATTGTGTATCTGAATGCTGTTGTGTTGGATCCAAGTTTTCCTTAATAGATCCACTGAATAGGAAGGAATCTTGTGGAATGATAGCTATTCTGGATCTGATAATAAAAATAATAAGTTATTATTATACTAGCAGCTTTGTGATAAGTGGCTTTCGCGATAAGTAGGTTTTGTATTGGATGGCTTTCGCGGGGAGTAGGGCTTTGTCGCAGTAACTGGTCCTTTCAACTGACTTTTACTGACACTTTTCTTACTGTTCTGAGCTGTATATAACAGTCAATTACTGACAAGTAAGTAAGTATTAGAAACAGTCCCGGACATATTCAATATAGGAGTCTGAATCAGTTAGGCCCTGAAGAAAGTGTCATCACACAGTATTCCATTAATGAACGAAATTCCCATAACAATCTTATGCTTACAAATAATCCGATAATTATTGACAAGTTGACTATCCCTTATATTGCTAAATTGCCAGTTGTGAACTTTATTAGGATTCCCGCATGAAGTTACACAGATAGAGAAAATGCATCATTCAAGTAGAGAAAAACATTGATTTCTTTTATGCAGGTTATATACCGGTAATAAAATATGAAATATCCAAGAACCAACACATACCAAAACTTATATCTCAAAAGTGAATATTCGTGGTGTATTTTAAGTCTAACCGGAAGTGGGAATTTGTTACTACTACTAGTATAAGGTAGTAAATCATCTCTGGTAAATCAGGTGTCTCTCTCTCATCCAAATAATACTAAGTGCATATGGCTAGTTGCATTAAGTGCAATGTATATAAATTCAAGTGGTTACTTTTTACTTTTGTTTTCAATGAAAAACATCTTAAATAAGTTGAGCTGAGATTTCATGATTTATCATAGAAAAGTTTCATATAAGTTTGCTGATAAAAAATAGTAAAGTTATTATAACTATAACGAACAAGATGACATTTTTATCCTGTTCATTTCAGGAAAGCTAATAAAACCCTGCATTGAAAATTGCATAAAAAAATTATATATTTACCACTTCATAGTTCTTACATACTGAAGTTAATTTTGATCCAAAAATGACAGAACATGACATCCAACTCACCTAAGTTGATCCAATGCCAGATGGCCAATATTGAAACCATCAATTGTAATACTGCCTGACTGGATTTGCACCATGCGAAATAATGTTAATAATAAACTGGATTTTCCTGATCCAGTACGACCAACAATACCAATTTTTTCACCAGACTCAATGTTGAATGATACACCATTCAATGCATTAGGCAGACCAGGTCTGTATGCCATATAGACACAATGGAATGATATACAGCCTTCCTCAGGCCATGTGGGCGGTGGCTGCAATGACAAGAAGAATATATGTTAGAATCTTGAGTGTAAATGAATAAAAAACATAACAAAAGAATATGAAATTATTGATGAAGTAACAATTTACTTTATTTAAGTTTTAAAGAGAGATGAAGGATAAATCAAAGATGAGCCGGGGATTGACTGCCCTCACTGAGAAAATGTATTGATGCTAATGTTTTTATAAGAAATAGGTCTCTAACCAATGCCAGTTATAAATTCCCATTCACTCAGAAAGGAATGTATGTGTGCTGTATGCATTAATTTGTTTTATATCATTTTTTGGGATTTTGCTCTGAACAACACATTTTGTCCTCGCGAGCATGCGATTGGACAGTATAACTATATTTATGTTTACATTGTTTTGTTACATTCTCTCTCTTGGTACATTCAGATTAACAGTTGGCATTCATGTTTCTTTTCCTTGGCGTACTACTTGCAGTCTGTTGTCTTTGCCTTCAGGATGTTTTGTTGTTGTTAAAGAGACAACATTAGCCATTATGTTCTAGTCATCTATACTGCAAAATGAACAGTTTAAAACCACACACTACCTATACCCAGTCACCCTGCCATAATTTAAAATAAATCTACTATACGTACCTGCAATATGCCATCGTTTGTTTCCTTTGGAGTATCCTCTGTGTATTGTACTGCTCTTTCAACACTCACCATCTCTTTTTCAGTCTCAGTAAACATTGTAATTACTCCTGATAAAAGACTGGTGATAGACAGTGCATAGGAAATAGACAAACCGACAAGACCTGTAATGACAATATCACAATAGTAGTTGGTTACCAAGACAATAGATCCCATAATATGTATATATTTGATATCAAGGATTTATAAAATTAGGGTACTGCTTTGATATGCAATAACGACCTCAAGATGAAGTCATGTGAAATGTGAGAAGATGTGGATTCTGTGAAAGAACTAATTAGTTTTCATCCCTGGCTGTTTCTGATGGTAACCTTGCTCATTCCCAAATGTGTAATGAGTGTCTTTTACATTTTTGAAAACTGTGATAATCACCCTCAATTTCTGTTTTCACAATTGAACATTTCAATTCTTCCATTGTGTTCCGTGATTGGTTAGAACCCTTGTCATGTAAGTACTCATCAATACAAGGTATAATGTGATTTTAAAAGTGAAATGGACAATTTAGCAATATACAAATTACATTAGACTTGCCCAGCTGTGGTGATTTTTTAAAAAAATGGAAAAAATAGTTTTGCAAAAGGTGGGGTAAACGCGAAACCACCACAGACTGGTCTTATTTGCAGGTAATCTGTTGCTATTATTTATTCATGATATGCAGTGACATCACTGAACGGATACAGAAAAGGAGTGGGGGCGTGCGCGCTGCATAATGAGGTAAACATTGTATTCTTTGGAGAGTAACAGTTTTCTTTGAGCTAGAATAGTTTCCGGACTGCCGAATACCCAATTGCAGTTCCCTTGCTGAACGTCGTCTGGTATAGTGTTCGTTTTTGCATGAAAATAACAAGGCTTCAGTCCAAGTTTCTGCTGCTCTTGCATCAACGCAACCAAAGGGGAGATGACTATTACTATGCATACTATGCAGCACACACGCCCCTACTCCTTTTCTGTATTCATTCAGTGATGTGGTTTTCAAGTTATCTGATTCGACAGTGCCAAACTGTTTTTTTATCTAAACAAAATGGAGCAACTTCAAATGCAACCGATTTGCCCCTTCTGGTCGGAAGGGCAATGAAAACGTCATGGCCGTCAGTAAAACCATGAATTATTGTCTTCTGTGCAGATCGGGCTTCACTGTAATCCAGACGAACTAAAGCTACACGCAGGCTACTTCTCTCCATTAGATTAATTTGTACGGAACGTTATAAATAAACTTGAAGAAATGTGAAATCTTCAGGTACAAAGGTGACTAGATATAGTTTAAAGGTCAAATTACTCTGATTGGATAACGTTCTTGCCTGTCATTCTGCTCATTAACATGAAAACTAGTACGAAAACACACTAGTTCCTGCTTTCACCACAAAGGGTGCAGCAAAAACGTCCAGAATAGGTGATTTCACAATTACAGGGGATTTCACGTTAACACCTCCATTTTGATATTTTTTTTAAATTTAAAAAGAAATTTAAAAAGTAATAAATCATCCAGACTGTGCCAGTTAAAATTACATGTACATGTCTTTAAACTAAAATTCTAGACTTTAATATCTTGTACTATGGCTGTTTGGATTTGACTAATAACTGTACTGGAATTGTTACCTATAACCTGGTTATGTCATGGTATAAAAAATCAAAATACCAACAACTTTTCATCACTGAGTATATACTTCAAAGTCTGATGGTCAAAACAACTGTTATACAAATTGAATAAATCATGGTTTTTATCACACATTGTGGTTTAACATATACATTGAAACTATCATGTGACCACTTACCTAATATATATTATCACAATA